CATATCTTTCAATAACAATAATGAATGTAAATGGACTAAATGCTCCAACCAAAAGACAAATGGTATCAGAATGGATAAGAAAACAAGACCCATCTATTTGCTGTCTACAAGAGACTCATTTTACACTTGAGGACAACTTCAGATTGAAAGTGAGGGGATGGAGAACTATCTATCATGCTACTGCAAGTCAGAAGAAAGCTGAGTAGCCATACTTACATCAGACAAACTAGACTTTAAATTAAAGGTGGTAACAAGAGATGAAGACGGGCATTATATAATAATTACAGGGTCTATACATCAGGAAGAGCTAACAATTATAAATGTCTATGCACCAAATACGGGAGCCCCCAAATATATAAAAGAATCACAAACATAAGCAACCATGTTGATAAGAATGTGGTATTGCAGGGGACTTTAATACTCCACTTACAACAATGGATAGATCATCTAGACACAGGATCAATAAAGAAACAAGGGCCCTGAATTATACATTGGATCAGATGGACTTGATGGTTATATTTAGAACTCTGCATCCCAAAGCAACAGAATATGTTTTCTTCTCCAGTGCACATGGAACATTCTCCAAGAGAGATCACATACTGGGCCACAAAACAGCCCTTCATAAGCATAAAAGAACTGAGATCACACCATGCACACTTGCAGACCACAATACTATGAAACTTGAAATCAACCACAGGAAAAAGCCTGGAAAACCTCCAAAAGCATGGAGGTTAAAGAACACCCCACTAAAGAATGAATGGGTCAACCAGGCAATTAGAGAAGAAATTTAAAAATATATGCAAACAAATGAAGATGAAAATACAACAATCCAAACGCTTTGGGATGTAGCAAAGGCAGTCCTGAGAGGAAAATACATTGCAATCCAGGCCTATCTTAAGAAACAAGAAAAATCCCAAATACAAAATCTAACAGCACACCTAAAGGAAATAGAGCAGAACAGCAAAGACATCCCAAACCCAGCAGAAGAAGAGAAATAATAAAGATCAGAGCAGAAATAATATAGAATCTAAAAAAACTGTAGAGCAGATCAATGAAACTAAGATTGGTTTTTTGAAAAAATAAACAAAATTGATAAACCTGTAGCCAAGCTTCTCAAAAAGAAAAGGGAGATGACCCAAATACATAAAATCATGAATGAAAATGCAATGATTACAATCAATCCCTCAGAAATACAAGCAATAATCAGGGAATACTTTGAAAAATCATATGCCAACAAACTGGACAACCTGGAAGAAATGGACAAATACCTAAGCACCCATACGCTTCTGAAACTCAAATGGAAAGAAATAGAAAACTTGAACAGACCCATTACCAGCAAAGAAATTGAATCAGTTATCAAAAATCTCCCAACAAATAAGAGTCCAGGACCAGATGGCTTCCCTGGGGAATTCTACCGGACATTTAAAGCAGAGATAATACCTATCCTTCTCAAGCTGTTCCAAAAAATAGAAAGGGAAGGAAAACTTCCAGACTCATTCTATGAAGCCAGCATTACTTTGATTCCCAAACCAGACAGAGACCCAGCAAAAAAAAGAGAACTACAGGGCAATATCCTTGATGAATACGGACGCAAAAATCCTCAACAAGATACTAGCAAATCGAATTCAACAGCATATAAAAAAAAATTATTCACCATGATCAAGTGGGATTCATTCCTGGGCTGCAGGGCTGGTTCAACATTCGCAAATCAATCAATGTGATACATCACATTAATAAAAGAAAAGAAAAGAACCATACGATCTGTCAATCGAAGCAGAAAAAGCATTTGACAAAATTCAGCATCCTTTCTTAATAAAAACCCTC